TAAGATTTCCTATTCAATCTGATCCACATATACACATAAAACAATTTTGTTTGTTATCAATCACCTTTTTTAAAAAATTTTTTTTTAGAAACTAAATTATATATATGCATTGTAATAATTGAATATCATTAAACCTCTTACTATTAATAGTTCCTCTAAAGATACATATGCATGTGTGTTTCACTCTAATAAATAAAATATTATCCAAAATTTAGTATATCAAGTTTATATAATAAAAATCTTGATCACAATATTAAAAAAAAATAAATAATAATATTTACAAATGAGAGTTTATCTTCCATCACAGATAGTTTCTCACATTTTTCTTTCTCTCCATCTCTTGTCAATAATAATGATGTGATCAAAGAGGATGAACAAGAAGGTATAACATTAATATGTGGTCATGCTTATCATAAATGTTTTGAACTTTATAAAAAGGGTGTTGTCTCAAATGTAAAATCCTATATAATAATAATAGACTAGAAAAAGATAATGGTTAATGATAATTTGTTACATTAAATGAAGAAATGATTATTTCCAAAATGTAAAATTTTAAATAAACTTGATTCTGAACCTAGAATGTCTTACAATATACTTATGTTGATGTAAACATTCAAATGTTTAAACAGTTTATTTAAACAAGTTAAGTAATTTAATTATTGTAAAATTACAAGTTATCTTTATTAACTTAATTTGAAGTTGACTAATTGTTACTATAAGCAAAAATATATTAAAAAATTTCATGTGTTTTTTTTTGATAATAATAATTACATTGAATTTATGAATATAAAATAATCCCATTCAAATTTTTTGTTTGAAGTTTCTCTTGAAGGACCTTTGACTTGTTGTGCTAGACATATTTTAGCAACCCAAGATGATTTTAAAAACCAAAAACCCTTACTTCAAGAATTAATTGAAGAAAGAGGACATAAAGCCATCTTCTATCCAAAGTTTCACTGTGAGCTTAACTACATTGAAATGTATTTGGGGGCTGCTAAATGATATGTTAGACAACATTTTAATTATACATGGAAAAGTCCTCAAGAGAATGTCCCAATGCTTTTGATTCTATATCACTGAAACAAAATTAGAAAGTATGTGGTGAGAGCCTCAAGATTTAAGGATTGTTACAGAAAAGGTTTAACAGTACTACAGGCTGAATATATTGTAAAAAAATATAAGTCACATAAAGGATTCCAGGCAATGTGATAGATGAAATAGATGAATTAAACTAATAATATTTTTATTTTTGATTGACATCTTTAATCGTGCCATGTTACCTCAAATTTTTTTAACATCAAATTTGTAATGAAAGTAATAAAAATTTTTTTGTGAATTTGAAACATTTTGCACAGCATTTGATGGGTTATAGTGGCGTGCACCGTACAAGGCACAAAGTACCAAGTTAGCCTGCCTGAATGGCAGTAGATAACAAAATGGTTAAATATGTCTATTTTTAATGCATATGTATATGAGTTGAGGACTCCAACTTCGTGTGCTTGATTTTTCTATATGCCATATATTCAATCATTTTCACTCAAAATACGTGAAAAATGATGAAATTCTATGGTGCAAGTCACCTAGTCCCGCAACTTGCTGCGCCTCGTGGCCAATTTTGGGAAAAATCATCAAAACTCAG